GTTTTTTCTTTTTGTTTTTATTTTTGCATGTTATCACTGTGCCCGTTTTTTGCTTTTATTCTTTGTTCCGCAAAGTGCGCTCTTTTAGTTTGTAGTGATGTGACAATATATATATTTCTGGGCGTTTTTTTGGCCCGCCCGGTTTACCCGGGCACCCCCCCCGGGCCCAACCAGTCGGGCCCAGCTTGGCCGGGTGGCGTCCTCACTCAGATTATTTTTATTTTTTTTTGGGGGGGGATGGGGGGGGCGTATGACAGGAAGCTGGGGATATGGCGAGTAGAGGGGGATATGGATAGGAGGAGGAGGATGTGGCGGAGGAGGACGACAAGAATAGCGAGGACGGCGACGAGGAGCAGAGATGGGGGAGGAGAAGAGATGGACGGAGGGAAAAGTGGAAGGGCGGGAGGAGGACGAGTGGGAGGAGGAGGAGACATGGACGGCGACTCGAGGGGGAACTCGGAGGAAGGGGAGGACACAAGGAAGGTAAGGAGACTAGGAAGCATGGAAGATGAGGAAGTACGAGGAGGAGGAGGAGACAAGGAGGATGAGGAAGGGCAGGAGGAGGACAAACAGGAAGAGGAGACATGGAAGGCAGGAGGAGGACGAAAAGGAGGAAACGAAAAGGGGGAGGGAGGAGGAGACATGGAGGATGAGGAAGGGGAGGAGGAGCACGGTGAGGCAGCACTCCAAATTTTTTTTTCATCCCGCTTATAATTTTGGTGGGGGGTCTCGAACGCACCGTTTCGACCCCTGGCCTTCTTTGTTTTTGGGGGAGGGGGGGGACGGGTTGTTCCCCTCACACCTCGTGCGCCGGACGGGATCGATTGGGCGTGTACGCCGCACGTTGGGAACTGCCCGCACGAGGTGCGCTTGCAAGTATGGTCATGACTCATCATGCACATGCTTATAGCTGTAGAACTAGAGACCACACTAGAGCCGTCACTGATCTATGCTTTAGAGATTTGGCAGATGAAACGGCATTCATGCATGGATACAGTGAGCATGGCTCTGCACCTTGGATGAGATATGCAAAACCTTATCCTTTTCCTCTACTTCTTCTCTTGTTCAAGGCCTCTTATCTTCTCCTGTTTTTTTTTATAATAGATGGGGGCTGTGGACCTTGTATGAATGTGCGCTTGCCATGCTTGTGCAGGTGGCGTTTGCAAGGATCTCTTGTGCTTCCTTCACAGCTGGCAGAGGGATCATGACATCCACCTGCACCCTGACTCTGTGAATAATCCCGGGCTCACAAAGGAAAGCAAACTACCTTGGGATGTTTATCGCAAATTCACCCAAAGATGGGGGACCACCTTTTGCTGATGGAATTCTTCAACCCCATCTGCTCACCCTTCCTTTTTTCTTTTTTCTCTGTCTACGCCAGTGCGAGGGTTTATGCCTCGGCATAGGGCCCTGCAGCAGGCGCGTGCCCGCCCTAAGTGAAGGCGCCCCCCCCTGAATCTCAATGCGCCCTGAACTCGTCAATTTTTGCAAATCTTGGCCGGCGCCAGACAGTTGCCACACACCAGTTGGTTACAATCCGCCTTGCTCGTGAGAATCCAAAATATTCGTAAGCCTTCCAGGCTCTTCCAGCAACGTGGTGGCAGCAGGGAGCATCGCACCTTTATGCCCGGGTGGTTGGGCATGCCTAACCAATTCGGTCCCAGGCCACTGCCTGAATCGGGCCTGGGCGCAGACACTTTGGCCGAGACTGAAGCTACTGGGATCTTGGTCTCACATGGGGGTAGCAAAGGCAAGTGCACGCCTCTTTCCGTATCGGAAAGGGCAGAGCGCAGGGCGATGTATTCGGACACTTGCACTTGCAGGCGGCAGCACTGCTGGAGCATAGACTCGCGGGCAGCTTGCTGTGCTAGTCGGAGGCCGGGGCTTGGACACAGTCAGCGGTTGGTGGTGGTCTTCGTGTATGGGAAGGAAGACGTGGGTGATGAAGACAAGGGTGATAGAGAGAGATAGATGAGGTTGATGATGTGAGGGCACATACCTGGTCTTGGCGATGGTCTACAAGGTCGACATCTTCATGCACTTCGGTTGTTGCTGCTGACGTCAACGGGATGCATTGTCAATTTTTGGCTGCTAGCTGTGTAAAAGTAGTCTGGGTGCTGAGCGCCAAGTAGGAGGAAGGGCTCTGGATACATATGTTGGTGGTGGCAAGATTATGCTGTCATTGACATTCGGATTCGGTGCTTTGGTTCTCCGGTGGTGGAATATCAGTGCATTTCTGCTTTCTGGACAGTGTTGGACTTTCTGGCTTTCAAATGTGAAATTGCATTCTGGAATTTTGTCATTTCGCTATATCTCATTTTCCTTGCATCAGCAGCGTTGCTCCTTGTAAAATCCCCCCCCTAGTATGTATATCACAACTTTATACGTATTGAATGACTGCCGTATGCCCGTGAGGAGCACGACCCGTCAAATGATGACAAGAGTACGTTGTGGGCACAACAGGTGCTCAGGCATTTTCAGGGGCCCTTGAACATCTGTTGGCTGTGTTCCGTGGGTGAGATTGATACTCCTTGGTTCATATGTATTGTAGCCTTCGATGGGATTCATACACCTCCTGATTTTGTGACTTTGTCTCTGGCTTTGGCAGTTACCCTGGTGGATTATGTTGCTACATTTCCTGAAGAGCTGGTGACTGACGAAGATCTCCATCTAGTGAGGTGCGGCATCCGGGGTGCCTTGCTGCCAATCTTTTTCTTTTCCCTTTTTTTTTTTTTTTTCGCTGCTTTGCTGCCAATCATGCTATGCGAAAAAACCCGGAAACATTGAGCCGAAGGGCCTAGGTACTTGAAAGCGCAGAATCGCGAAATCAGCGGCCAGATTGAGTCCTCCTTAAAGGAGGACTCAATCTGGTTGCCAATTTTGCTACTATAAGGGCTTAGTGTGAGTGTACTCTTACCCTCAGAACATATGGACGTTTGAACTTCATAACTCCGAGGCACTGTCCCAATATCATCATGATCGGTGCTGTAACCACAGGGCCTTCAAATTTTGGGTTGGTTTGTTGGCTGTTGAGTCCAAATGCCTGCTAGATGCATGTGGAGAAATTATCTCAGTGATACTGACGATCAAATCAGTAGTGTCATGTTAATAGCGTTAACTATCCTTGGTTCAGTTCTTGGTCAAGTAGGAATGCACTTGAATTCGTCTCGCTCGTCATTATCATTTTGTGGACTCCGACACTCACGAATCTGGAATGGGGCGACTCTCACAGATTCTGCAAAGATAAAGAGGCCTTGCTGGGTCAAGGTCTAAATTCAAAAAGGTGAATTCAAGATCCTGAAGTTCAAGAATGATTTCGAGCGAAATTTTGGTGGGGAAAAAGTTGAGGTCCAAAAGTCTTAACGAAGGTCCCTGCAAATTCAAAAAAAATGCTACGTTGAATTATAATTTTTTATTTGTTTTTTACATCTGACTTTTGCAGCCATAGAGTTTTGTGAAGTGCTTTTACAGACATATTCTTTGTGGCACTCATAGGACGTCAACGAAACGAAACTGAGGGAACAGGTATCACAAAAGAAGATGTTCCTCATTGCGATCCCTGTTCCTCAAATTTCGTTTCGTTGAGATCATTGTCCTCATTGCTGGTGAGGTGTCTGGATCGCAGTGATGTTGGCGGTTTGCCGATGGGGTGCTGTGAGAAGTTCATTAACCTCATCATTTGGAGGAAGGAGAAGTTGTAACGAGGTTTCCGTAGCTGAACCTGCTGAAGGGTCATTGGGGGGAAAAAAAAGATGTTCCTCATTTCAATGAGCGGGCTGGAGTGCTTAGATGCTGCCCAACAATTTGCAAGCCTGGAGTCTCCTGGGCTGTGTCGGGGTCGGATATTTGCAGATTGTCCGTGTGTTCTACACCTTGTAAGGCAATTCGCAATTCATCCGAAGAATGTGATATTGTCGTTTGGAGGGAGGGAAGGGAAATGGCCTGAAGAGCAGGCACAGAGAGAACCGGGGCAGACAAATGAATGAGCTGCTGATCCCCGAATGAGTTACCATATGGTGCACATGATCGACAAACACAATATAAGGAGTTGTGGCATGGAAGAGTAGATGAGTATCTCGGGCAATAAAAATGGAACTGTGGGAGCAGGGACAAGTCTGTTCGCGAATAAGAGTGTGGAGATGGAGGTCAATCAAGTGGTATTTTCCGAGAGGAAAAAAAAAAACAAAGAATCAGCACAATACGACAATTTCGGTGGAGAATTCGCCGATAATAACACCCCTGGCAGGGTTGCATCCCCGCCGACCGTATTGTACCGACGGATCGGGGCCGACCAGTCGGCGGTAACGGACGGCTCAGAAAACAGTCTTCCTCTGATTTTTTTTTTGTTCTGACTTCGGGTCTGTACTGCGCTTGCTGAGTACAGCCCAAATCCGCTGAGAAACTTTGGTTTCGGGGTGGGGGGGAGG